AATATGTGTTTAGTGTGTTTTTTATTTCTGAATAATGAATGACACTTTTAGGCACTAGTGCTTAAAAATTACTTTTACGCACTCATAAGTCACTTTTACGCATTCAAAAGTCACTTTTACGCACTGAGTGCCTAAAAGTAACTTTCACGCACTCAGTGCCTAAAAGAATGTCGTTTCAAAACTGAAATGACAATCGAAAAGTTGCTATTATGAAACGTCAGTAGAAAAAAATAAAAACGATTTTACAAAATTTCGGTTTTTTCCGAATATCTCCATCTGGAAGTATTTGGAATCTTTCTAGTTTCAAAACGGTACTCTATTGTTCATAAAATTGCGCAACTTTGCCATAATTTAACCGACTTCGTATCTCTTATACGGTTACCGAGATCCCAATGATGAGGCTCGAATTTGGACCATTCAGTACAGTACACGTAATACAGAAAGATGGATGCAAAATTGAATATTGACAAGTTAGTGGAGTCTTCTGAAGGAAATGGAAATTCTAACTATGTCGCATGGAGATTCAGAAATTGTAACTGGTGAAAAACCTCAACCATTGAAGACAAACAAAGATAATGCAGCTTGGATTAAGAAGGACATAAACGCTCAGACCATTATTGGATTAAATGTGGACGAAAATATTGCTCTAAAAATAACGACTTGTTCAACATTAACCAAGGTGATTGAAAGACTGGAAACATTGTATGGAAAGAAAACTCAAAAATCTGTTAACATGTTGCAACAACAATTTTTTGCCTACAAATATGATGAAACTAAAACAGTTGTTGAAAATTGTCTGGAAAACGATAGGCTGGCGCAAGAATTGAAAATTAATGGAGAAGATATTAAAGACAGTTGGCTAACGTGTCGAATTTTGAATTGTTTGCCTGAAAAATTTGATAATCTTCATGCAGCCTGGCAGTCAGTGGCTGAAAGCGACAAAACACTAATAAATTCAAGGAATCGCTTGTAACAAGAAAAGATAAGACTACAAGGGCGGGAATCAGATACAATAAGCACTGCACTTGGTGGAAAAATTGATAAGTCGAACAAAAACAACAAGGAAAAGAGAAACTTTGTTAAGAAAAATCAGCAAGGTTTCAACCAGAATAGAAATTCATCAGGTCAAGCAAAGGCAAAATGTTACAAATGTAGTGGGTCTGGACATTTTAAACGTGATTTTCATAACAAACCGTATCAGGAGTATATATTTGGATTATTGTAAAAATAAATATGAATGTCACAGTGGTCTCGAAAAAAAGCATTTTTCGGATGATTATCCGAAAAAGTCAAGTTATGAAGGTAACAAAGTGAAATCGTTTGTCTCACTTGCATTATCATCATTAGTGGCAGGGTTATCAAATAACTATGAATTATGGATCATGGACAGTGGTGCAACACATCATTTGACTGGAAATTTAAAATGTTTATCAAATATGCATCCATTGACAACACCAATTTCAGTTGAGATTGGAGATTCTACAAAATTAGAATGTATAGCTTTTGGAGATGTTTATTTCCATGCTTATAATGGCAGAGAATGGTGCAAAATTGTTTTGAAGGAAGTTTTATTTGTTCTGGAGCTCTCGTTCAATCTATTCTCGTAACAGTGATAACAGTCTTGGATAAAGGTTGTACCTACACAATCAGCAAACAGCGAAAAAGTCAGTTATTATGGAACAAGGAAAGCCAGTATTAATAGCCAAGAGGACAGGTGGTTTATTTCACATGATGTTTCGTGTAATGGAAGAGTAGGTATAGTTTGCCAGTATAGTTAGCTTAAAAATTTGGCATGAACGGTTAGCACATCAAAATATTCGACATGTAAGAGATGTATTGGAAAGAATGAAATAAGCTATATTGATGACTGGAAAGAGCATGTCTGTGAAGGTTGTGTGTATAGGAAACAGCACAGAGTTTCTCATCCAACGAATAATGTCATAGCAAAAGCATCTCTGGACAGAGTAAATGTTGATCTTGGCGAAATGAATGATCGTTCTCTCGGTGGTGCAAAGTATTTTCTAATTTTTAAAGATGATTATAGTCATTTTCGAACTATTTATTTTTTGAAAAACAGATCTAAAGCAGTAGAAAAATCAGATATTAATTTAAACCTGATGGAAAATCAATTTGGTCGTAAAGTGAAAGTATTGATGTCAGATAATGGTACGGAAATTAAAAATGTAAGAAGCAGAGAAGTTTTTGAACAGCTTGGAATATTTCATGAGTGATCAGCAGCTTATACACCACAACAAAATGGCAGATTTGAAAGAGAAATGCGGACCATGGTTGAAGTCGCACGAGCTGAAATTTACACTCATGATTTTGGACAAGATTTATGGGCAGAAGAATTAAATTATTCAGTATTTTCAATTAATCAAACTGGCATTAGCACTATTGGTGGAAAAGCTCCAGCAGAATTGTGGTTTGGTCGTCGTATTAGTCTGAAAGCAATGTAAATTTTTGGTTGGGAATGGTACATATTGTTACAGGATCATCAGCGTCAAAAAAAGGATAAAAAAAGCAAGAAACGAATTTATGTCGGATATGATATTGAAGAGCATGGCTATCGTATATATTTTCCGAATGAACGCAAAATAGAAGTGTCATGTAATGTTTTATTTGATGAAAAAATAGGTCCAGAAAGTGGTTATACAGAAATTAATTGCAAATCGACTGAACAAATTGAACAAAAGTCTGGCAATGAGTCGGAAATAGAATCAGGGCAAATGTCAGAGGCAGAGGAGGAAGTATAAGGACAGGAGGAGAATGTTGAAAGTAATGAAAGTGATCAAGTAGAATCGACAGATGAAGATGACATAGATTTACCAAGATATGGACGAAGAAATCGTCAGGAAATTGAAGGCCGGTATTATAAAACACTGAACCGCTGGTTGAGTTTCAACCTTTGGCTGAATCCTATCAATTTGCATGGAGTCAACCGAATGTTGAAACTCAACCATCAGTTCAGTGTTTTATAATACCGGCCATTAACAGGTTCGCGGACAATTTCTAAAAGTATGTTGTGCTTAGAATGTCAATTTTTGTATTCCCATGTTTGATGTGGTTTTTTCGCCGTGAACTGGACAATTTTGAGGTGAATAGACACTGTGGCAGGACTAATAAATTGAAAATACATATAGCTATATGGGATCAAAGACGGCTAGAGCCGTTACTTGTTTATAGAAGAAAATTGGGGTGACTGCTATAGGCGTCATGTCCCAAGCAAGGGAGAGAATATGACGGCCGTACTGTCCGCGAACGTGTTAATCCCATTTAGGATATAAAGACATATATTGATCGGAGAAGTTCAAGATTTATTAGTGAAAAATGCACTGAAAGATCCTCGTTGGAAGAAAGCAATGCAAGAAGAGTTTAATTCATTGCAAGATACAAAGATATGGGAATTAGTGAAATCGCCGGAAAATCGAAAACCTTTAACATGCAAATGGGTATTACGAAAAAAAGTAGATGGTCGTACAAAGGCACATCTTGTTGCCCGTGGTTTTAACCAACAGCATGGGATAGATTACAACGGAACGTTTACACCTGTGGCTCGACATGCAAGTATTAGATTATTGTTGAGTCATGCAATGAGAATGAATGTGTTTATTCGGACATTTGATGTAAAACAGCTTTTCTGAATGGAGACTTATCTGAAGAAATTTACATGTTACAGCCAGAAGGTTTTGATGATAAGACTGGTGAAGTTTGTTTACTGAAACGAAGCTTCCACGGTTTTTCATTTTATTTATTTATTTATTTATTTACAGGAAAACCCCATTAACAGTTTACAACTAACAAAATATAAAGTTATGAATATAGATTAGACATAAAAAAAATCCAAACTAATCAAAACAACCCCTCTTAATACTAGCTCATCAAATACAGTAAGCAAAACCTAAAAAGCACCAGATCCTTAAAACGTGACACCATTAAATTGCTTTTCAAATTCTCTCAAAGATATACCAAATATTTCAATGTGATGGTTATTAACAACTCTAGAGTATCATCCATAGGCGTATTAAAACAATAATTTGTACGCGGTGAAAAGGAAAAGGTCTTCTATTTCTAGTCACTATCTCAATATTTATTTCACCTAAAAAATCAGAAGAATCAATTGTACTGTTAACAATACCATACAGAAAAGTAAGCCCTGCAAAATCCCTTCGATCTGATAGAGTCCGCAGGTTAAGATGATTTTCTAACCTAACATAATTGTGATTATCGATCACTATTCCTAGTTTAAATGCACAGAAACGAAGAAACTTGAAGGCATTTGACACTGTGGCACACTCGATTCTACTTAAACGTCTGGAGCAAGTTGGTATCAGAGGTATTCTAATGAATCTTATTAATTCATACTTATAACCAAAAGAAAACAGAGCAATAACATTAGTAACATATCAGGTGGTCCAAGTAGTAAATTAGAAGTGGAATGGTGTGCCGCAGGATACGGTGCTTCCTACATTACTTTTTAATATATACATAGATGTTATGCATTATGTCTTTGCTTGATAAAGAGGATATCCTTTGCTTTGCAGATGATTCTTGTGCAGTTATTAGTGGGGATGACTGGGAATCTGTAAAAATGAGTGCTGAAGAAGCTTAGCAAAAAATTAAAAGGTTCATGGCTAGATGGTAGTTCACTGTCACTTAATATGGATAAAACCAAAATAATAACTTTTTCTTTATCTACGCGCTCATTAGGTACCTAACAGATTTTTAATGATTAATCATAAAAACACCTTTATACGTGAAATTAATAGGCTCACTTACAAGCTTAAAAGGGATATTCTTAACTTAGAAATAAAAATTGCTCACCACACCTCAGCTGAATTGAGATCACAGATAGGGATAGGGATCAACCTGGTTAGAGGATTTTTAGGTGATCAGGATTATCAAGAATTTCTAAAAACTGTTAAAAGAAATACGTACGTATATTTTCTAACACTAAATTTACTCATTGTAACAAGTTACTTGACTTGATTTCACAACAGAAGAAAATCCTGATAACTCCGGAAAACTGGTTGATTAACCTTAACACAACAACAATACCACCTTCCAGTAAGGAATTACTAGCCTTGGAACCATCATTTGCTTTGCCTTATAACACTAAAGACTTTCCAATGTTCCAACTCATCAAGGATACTGAATATTGCATCCAGAACCTACCAGAAGACACAGATAAGGACTGTATAAGACCAATATTATTAGTAATCATTACAACAGCTTAAAACAGGGTAAAAAATTTGACCAACGCGATAAAGACTATTATCAAACCAAAAAATTCCTTAACAATAACCCTAACTTGATAGTGACTCGTGCGGATAAGGGTAATTGCACTATTGTGATGAAAAGACAAGACTATGAGTGTAAAATGAAACTATTGTTGGATGATGATGGCACATATCTGGAATTACCTAACAATCCCACAAACCTTTTCGAAAATAGGTCAAATAAATTATTCAAAAAGTTAGTATCATGTAATGAACTTGACAAAGATTCAGTAAAAAAGTTCATAAGCCATAATTCTATTCCACCAAAAATCTATGGACTACCCAATATCGACAAACCAAACACACCCCTAAGACCTGTTGTCTCGTGTGTAATGTCACCTACAACATCTCCAGTTTCATAGCCAAAATTTTGAATAACTTGGTTCCAACGTTTCAATATGTGGTGAATAACTCCTTCAAGTTTGTGGAAAAACTTAGAACTCATACAATTCCAGCTGGATACATTCTTGTTTCTCTTGTTCACAAATATTCCCAAAGATTTAGTACTAAATCTGATAAGAGAAATATTGGGAAAATATTGAGGCATTCACTGCTATAGAACGTGCGGTTTTTGTTGAATTGATCGCCTTCATCTTCGAGTCAAGTTATTTCTCCTACAACAACAAATTTTTCAAACAGATTTTTGGTACGGCAATGTGTAACCCGGCTTCACCTATTTTGGCTAATATCGTGATGAACGAGATCCTCATAACTGTCATCCCCAAATTACCCTTTCCACTTCCCTTCTTGTATTTATATGTAGATGATATTATCACAGCCATACCCGACCATAGTGAGGACATTGTCTCAAATGTATTCAATGAATTCCATCGGAATCTCCAATTTACCCTTGAAAAAGAGAAAGGGTTAAGATTACCTTTCCTTGATGTAGTTATCATCAGGGATTTTGATAACAACCTTACTACGGATTGGTATCGGAAACCAACAGCATCAGGAAGGATTACTAGTTTTAATTCATCACATAACATCACACATAAGGTGGCTATTATTAAATCACTTAAACATAGAGCAAAACAATTATTGTCTGACCCTCAGTATATGGATGCAAATTTTGAACGAATAAGGTTACTTTGTAAACAAAATCATTATCCTCTACATACATACATACATGTCTTTCTTCGTTGTCCGACACCTAATTTCCATCCTCTTCTATCGTCGCAATCCTTTGATGAGAGATTTCTTTCACTCATGGACTTTTGTATGGTTTTCTGCCATTCCAGTTTTGGTCTTCCTCGTTTTCTTCTACCTGTTGGTTGCCATTGCAGCATTTTTCTGGGCCACCTGTCATTTGGCATTCGTTCTACGTGTCCGTACCAGGTAAGTTGTTTCTTTTCAATGTCCTGGACTATCGTACCTTCTATACCCATTTGTTGTTTTATATTGTCATTCCTTATTCTGTCTCTTCGTGAGATTCGCATGGATCTTCTAATAGCATCCATTTCAACTGCTTCCACTTTTTTCTTTTGTCTGTCTATAATTCTCCAAGTCTCGGCTCCATATAGAAGGCTGCTCTTTATCATTGTCTCATATATATTAAATTTTCTCTTCTTTGTGATTTCCTTGCTCCATAATATTCCATTTAGGCATCCAATTACTTTTTTAGCTTTAAATATTCGCTTTCCTATTTCTTTCACGTCTGTTCCGGTGTTGTCGAATGTGATACCTAGATATTCATATTCTTGACATTGCAGAATTTCCTGACCATCGTCCACTTCCAAGTTTCCGTTCTGGTTGCCTACACATAGATATTTTGTTTTATTTATATTAACTCTCAGGCTCCATTCTTGATACTCTTCTATCAGCTTTCTAATCATATATTGCATGTCCTCTTTGTCACTGGCCACTATGACCCGATCATCTGCAAACTGAAGAGTAAACAGGCACCTATCATTTATCTCTATACCCATTCCATGGATCTTCCTCTTCCAATTTTTCAGTGCTACTGCTACATATATTTTAAAAAGCGTAGGAGAGATACAACATCCTTGACGTAGTCCTTTATTTACTATAAATGTGTCTGTGAGTTTTTTACCTATCCTAATTCTTGATTTTGAGTCTTTATATAGTTCTTTAAGTGCCGTTATGTAGGTATGATTGATGTTTGTGTGTTCTAATACCTTCCATAGTCTGGATACTGGGACTGTATCGTATGCTTTTTGTAGGTCAACAAATGTGAGGTGGGTTTCCAAATATCTAGCAGATCTCTTTTCTATGACTTGTTTTAGGCAAAATACGTTGTCCGTACCTGATTTTCCTGCTCTAAAGCCGCACTGCTCTTCTTCTTCTTGCTCTTTATAATCTTCTTCAATGAGATCACGCAGGATTCTACCGTATAGTCTGCTTAGTGGGCTTGTGACTGATATGCCCCGATAGTTATTGCAATCCAGCTTATTTCCTTTTTTGTGAATGGATGTGATGAGCCGTTTTCCAGTCTTGTGAAACAGGATGTCCATTTGGGCATTTATTGATAATACATGTGAGACCTTTAAAGAGCTTCTCAGTTCCCCATTTCAGCATTTCTGAGTATATACCTTCTGGGCCGCTAGCTTTACCTGACTTAAGATTCTTAACAGTCTTTATTACTGTTTCTTCAGATATCTCAACTACTTCTCCATGTACTTCAATATGTCTTGGAGAATCTAATATATACTCCTGGACAAAATTATCGTACCACTGCTTATGTGCAGTGGTGGTGCGATAATTTTGTCCAGGAGTATATTATATTCCGGTCTACTTTCTTGTAATAGACCCTTGCAATGTTCTACCGATTGGTCTGGTTTAATAATCTGGATATTAGCTCTGTCTTTTCCTGGATTTTTGACATTTGATATAAATCTCCATACCTCTGAGCATTTCCTTCCTCCTATGTAGGTGTTAATTTCTTCACATTTCTTATCCCATGACTCGTTCTTAGCTATACTGATGCACGTTCTTAGTTGTCTTTTTATGCCTTTATAAACTTCAAGGTCTTGTTCACTTTTTGTTGTTAGCCATTTCAGATATTTTTGCTTTTTCTGTTGGACTAATAGCTCTATCTCCTCGTTCCACCAGTATTTCTTGTTAGTATTATTATCCTCTATCTTTAGTGAATACTATTTTGTGTAATAATGCTAATAGTGTTCCATCTCCAAATCAGGTTCAATTTTCTAATGTTCAAAATTCCATTGATTCCGGGATTAAGCACTAAGTTATCAAAAATCTTACAAACACAAGATAACATTAGGGTAGTTCCTTATGCAAACAAGAAAGTTGGTGACGTATTTACTAAAACCAAAGACAAAACCGCAATCTGTGATAGTTCTAACTTAGTTTATAGGATTGATTGTATTTATTGTGATAGACTGTACATAGGGGAGACTAAGCAAAAGCTCTCAAAAAGATTATATCAACACCAATATGATTATCGAATTATTAACATTGATAAAAAAGAAAAAACGTCATTGGCGACTCATCATTTTGAGAGTGACCATCATTTTGATTTCAACAATCCGTCAGTGTGTATAAGAAAGGAAAACTGGAAAAAGAGAAAAATTCTTGAAATGTTGTTTATAAATAAATATAAAAGTCAGGCAGTTAACTATAAAACCGATACTAATAATTTAAGCGCCATCTATTGTAATTTAATCAATTTATAATTTGTTGCTATCTTTATAGTTAATACTTAAATTATTATAGCCAATAATAATAATTTTCAAATCTTCTCGTTAGGTGTCACTGTGTTGACTGATAGTAATTAATTTGTCATTGTTTTGCTTATACCTCTGTAATCACTTGCAGCTGTATGCAACATCCTCTTTTAAATTAAAAGCGCTTTTTAAAACTGGTCACTTTTAAAAATGTGTATTCTAAGCCATACAAATTTTTAAAGGTACCAGTTTTAAAAAGCGCTTTTAAGTTAAAAGAGGCTGTACAGCTGTTGTCCTTTTAATTTTCTATTTTATTTCTTTTTTAATATTTTGTATATTTGTGTTTTACTGTCTTTTTACAATTTTATAAATTTATTGTGATTTTGTTATGTGCAATCGAGTTTTCCATCCTGAAAATCTTGCACTTTTTTTCATAATTCTGGCCACATAATTTTTTAAGTATGTACAAGGTATGTTAACTTAATTTTTTTGTTAGCACTTTTTTGATGTTCCTAATATATATATTAGCCCTGATGAAGCCCTAAACTTTTGGGCGAAACGTTGGCAAAGACTTAACAGGCCTTTTATTTTTTGTCTTAACTGACGAATCACCCCCTTCATTGTACCAGATTTTGAAAGTATTAAATTACAGGTTCTTCATGCAATTTGGATACTCAATGTAATTGTGTTGAAATGGTTCGAAGAATCTCTAAACATAGATGAAAAGGTCATTGGATGAAACTTCCACTTGGAAAGATATATGTCACTTATAAAACAAGGAAACTTATTTATAAATTTTATGAATTAAGACACATTTTATCTTTTAAGATACTTGAGCAAATCTATTATTCTCTTAGAATCTATTCTGAATTATGGCATAGTTGTGTGGGGATATGCAGGTTCCACAATACTGTCCAAGCTCCTAATCGCACAAAAATATAGAATTTTTAATACCTATTTAGAAGTACCAGTCGTCAGTCGTTCTAGTGACAAAACATATGTCGCTTCTTGAACGCACAAATAAAATTAGGTTAGGAATTTCCTATTTGTAGGTACATGAAATTGATGTATTAGGAATCGACGTTCGTTTTTGTTGGTAATTTTTTGTTTCATCTGATTCGTGATTGATAAATAAGGATGGGGTTATTCTGAATGGGTATTAAAAATACTATAGTTGATAAAAGCAAATGATGAAGGCTCCAAAATTTTTAGCGAACCTCGCAAATAGGTTCCAATAGGGAATTTCCATATTTCTCAATTAATTTTTTTTTAGATACTTCTAGGATCAGATATTACAGTTTTCTTTTTTTC